TGCTCTGTAGAGAGAGTTACAGAATTTTTCCTGTTTCTGTGAAATAGGATGAGAGTTGAGAGTGAAGAGGTATGAGAGGGTAGTTGATTCTCAGCGGTCTTAGAGGTGGGGTAGACAGTGGGGTGAACGTCGCCACCCCCCCACCCCCACCATGTGTCACGTCGCTCCAGTCCTAGGCCTCCCCCTCCTTGTGACGTCACAGGACGCCTCAGGGTGAGGGCGTCTGTGATTGGTAGCGGCACCTCCACCTCTAGGTGAGTTTTGGTGTAAACAGCTGTGATTGGGAGCGGCACCATACAGTTGTGCCGGATTTGTGCTGATTGGTCAAGACAAGGTAGGGGGGAGATATGGACATTTTTGAGTTTCCCTAGCCACCAAATCTTCAGTCTGGGCTGAGCGGCAAGCTGAGAAGGTGACTGGGTGGGGGTGGCGGCTTCTACCTCCACCCCCCCCTTCCCCATTAATCGCTGTGTCATCCTCATTACTCATCGTGCATGGCACTCCTGCCATCATGGGTTGTGTCGAGGCTCAATTTGCATGAAATGGGGCCAAAGAGTACGGTAGGAACAGTAAAAAAACCTCAGAGACAGTGTTCACCCATGAGGCAGCTGGCAGGCCTCATGGTGTAACAGATGGTTCGAATATCCTGTCTATGTTATGGACAATTGGTGGAATATGGGCAGGGCCTCCTAGTGTAATTGTGGTGATATTACAGGCCCCTGTTGGACTTTGAATTCAACCTGGCAGTGTCCATGTGGTGGTGACGCCGGCATTATCACACCCGGTGTACGAGCGAGGCATGGTCTGGTATGATGGGGGTGTAGGTCATCTCCCATCCGCGTGTGTATGCCTATGGGCGCCAGCCAGCCAGTCTGAGGCACCCCATGTGCTCGCCACCCTGCGCTGGCCACCCCGCGCCGCCCACCTTGGCCACCCGCCCGGGAGCCACCCTGGCGACCCCCCAGGCCACCCCCGTGCCGGCCACCCCAGGCCAATCCCCGCGCCGGTCACCCTGGCCATCCCCCGCGCCGGCCACACCAGCCCGGTGGGGCGCTGTGACGCCCCGTGCTTACCTCGTGGCTACCCGCTTAGGGCCACGTGGTGGCCACATGCCTTGGCCACCCCCTTGGGCCACGCTTGGCCACCTTCCCTGGACCACCCTAGGGCCACACCTAGTCGACGCACATGGAGCGAGCTAGGTGTTCTGCAGCCAGTGAGGTAGTGACCGGAATAATGAATGTGTTGAAGATTTAAGGAGCTGTGAGTCCAATAAAAGTTGTTACACATCTCAGGACTGTGTTAATTTCGGTAACAGCTGTGTGGTCCCATAGCGCCTGCCAGGCGTGGGAAGCAGCTGAGATACAGCTGTCTGGCGTGGGAAGCAGCTGAGATACAGCTGTCTGTACTGGCGTCCAGGTGACTGGTTGGGATGTACCTGGAGATGGATGTTGTACACAGTACCACACTGTAGATGTATAAAGATATATGTTGTGTGTAGACTGACTCGAGTATGTAACCGGTCAGTGTAGAAATTTACCATATAAGTGATCCAGTTCTGTCGATTCTATATAATCGTTCAGTCTAGATTAATGCCATGTTGCTGCATGTTAATTATATCATTGCAGAGGTAGGCAGGCCAGTGTTGCATGGTTGTCAGTGGATATCCTGAGATCTGTATAAGTGTGATATAAGTTTCATTGATTATGTGAATGCCATTTCCATGTGTTTCATTTGCATGTATATGTATGTACTGTGTTGTGTGGTGAGTCAGTAGATGAGATTGCTGACTGATTGCCTAATGATGTCATTGGCATGTGGGGTAAGCTGATGGCATCATTATGTTGTAGGTTTGGGCAGTGTTGTTGTTGGTATACGTAATATTACTGCCACTAGGAGCTGTGTTGAGGATTTGAGGGACCCCTTTGAGTATTCAGGGGAATTCACAGTACTTAATGAGAGCAAGCAATTGATTAGTTAATTGCCTAATTACGAGAATTAGTGCCAGCTGTCCGCGTAGCGACAGTGGTTTATATTAACGTAAATTGTCTTGCTGAGATAGTCGTGATTGCACACAGTAGTCCCTTGCAACAGTTGCAAGATTAGGGGGCAGTAATGTAGGTATAATTTTGTTGTTGCCTAACCGCGTGTCATTACTGTGTGGGTCCAGTAATTAACGTGTTGCAGTAGCCGCAACCGTATGTGGGCTGTGCATTTATGTTGTTAAGCATGCCACTGTAGTGTGACCTATGTAACACTGGGGTTACTTTGTTTCTTTAAGTTGTGTTGAAGACTTAAGGATTCAGTGAGTTAATTAATGGGAATTAACTTTATAAAGGGGTTGCACATTTATTGTTGAGTGAGTGAGGGCTGTTAAAGGAGAACAGTGTTGAGCTTGTTGAGATACGTTTCCGGTGCAATTAATTGTCCATGTGACAACTAATTGACCACTCTAGCTAATTATGTAATTAGCATTCTCATCATGAATTCACGTAGTGGGAGAGGAACTGTCAGAGTCTGTCAGTATTTGTGTTAACATAATTTGCTTGAGACTAATTACCTTTCTGGGGTATTGCAATTAGTGGAGTAATTAACGTCTTGAGGTCTCAGATGACTCGGTAAAGCGAGGTCATGGAGCTAGCATAACTCGTTATATTAATCATATCCTGTCTGGTGACAGTGGATTAAGATGCACTCATGTTAATTAGGGGAGTAATTAACTCCTCGCCCGTGAATTCACAGTGTTTGATGAGACCTGCTTAGGCAGTGCGGAGTGAGACGTATTTATGTATGATTAATTATCGGTCCCGGTGACAGTTAATTAATTGCTTGGGGTTAATTAGGGTAATTAACACTCATTAAAGTAAATTTTGACATAGACTGTAGAGAAGCTACCAAGTTAGTGGTAGACTTAGTTAACGTAACTCGATGGGGATGTAATTAGTGGTCCGTTTGACCTTAATTAGGAATTACTCACTGAATACTTGCAAGGAGTCAAGTGTGATGTAATGTAAGAGACTTTGAGTTAATGTTAACAAGATGACTTGTGTTAAGAGAGACAAGTGTTGATGATTAACGTAGAGTACCATCATGTTGTTGTCTATGAGAGACAAGTGTTGATGATTAACGTAGAGTACCATCATGTTGTTGTCTAAGAGAGACAAGTGTTTGTGATTAACGTAGTACTTTGTTGCTGACTGCTGTGATCAGTCAATTAACGTAATTAATCACATAATCAATTTTGTAACTGATTAAGGCAATTTCTTTTGTTTATCGTCTGGTGACGAGAGTAAAGTATCTTAGGGATTACTGGATTAGGGATTACTGGAGCTGTGTCTCAGAATCCCACCTTGCCTGGCATCGCTTACTGTTTACAGTGCAACTTCTTGCAGAAAGTTGCAAAGAGTGTTCACATTAGGTTGTGATAGGGGGAATCACTGTTGGTGTACCCTCCTAGTTACGTGGGTCTCTTCTGTTATGGTTGGAGGACCCATAAGATTGTGATTATAGTATCTGTTCACCGTGAAGCCGTGACAATATTGATTGCAAGCTTGTGTCATCAGTGGACATCCATCATTGTTCAGTTTGTTCATGTAGTCAGCCCAAAGTGTCAGCAAGATGGAGATTGCTGTCATTTCTCGAGGGGCTATTGAATAGCTGTGTTGCAATTGCCACTGGATGGACATTAACGTAACGAGTCACTCTCTGTGTTGTAACTTAGTCTGTGATAATTTTTTGGATTTTGCAATATTGCATCGTCAGTGGGCACACCTGTGTTCAGGTTAGTTCAGCATGCAGCCTCACAGCAAGGGTTGCTATTTAGCTGTTTGTTATCGTGCCACTGGATGGACATTAACGTAACATAAACTCGATATTGTAGTAGTTTAGTCTCTTGTTATTAATAAATTGTTTATTTTATAGAAAACGGTCTTTGATGTCAACCCTTCAACCATTCTTTTCCACCCATGTTCTGCTTTATACGATTGAATGTTGATGTGATATTTTGATATGACGGCTGTTCTTGGAACTTTGAATTCCAATTCATAGCACCACATCAAATATAAATATTTGATTGTGAAAACCCGTCGATTACCCTTTATTAGTTTTAACGTCCTGTTTAACTAGGAGGAACCAGCGGCCTATGTGGACAGGTTTTCACCCCTGGTGGTGGAGGCCTGGCGGTTTGCTCCCGCTTTTCCTTTTTATATTGGACTCATGCTTAACTGCCGTGTATAGCCTTTAAACTTGAAGTCTACCTCCTAAGGGAGGTAGGCGTAGAAAAAAATCTCACAATGATCATAAAATTATAATTGGAAGGAAACTAAGATTTTTTTTACAAAATCAGCAGGAACCACGAGGAGGATTCGAACCTATGCTCTCGGTAGTCCCAAGCTAATTTCTAAGGCATTGGTCTGAGTACTGGTCAAGAGCGTTGCTTGGGAGCGCCCATCCTTCTTAATGCTCCTACTGACTTTATCATTGATACATCATGTTAATGTGCTTTCTTTGTGTACAAATTTTTTTTAGTAAAATAGACTGAATGGCATGCCAAATAAAAGCCAAAGCTTTCATTTCACCTGAAATTAGGTGTGATGTTAGCATTGGTAGAAATCTGATCAAGGAACTAGGAAAAAGCAAGGTCAGCCTCTTGTGTGGTAGTATGTATTTATCTGGAACTTAAAAAGGCTTTGTCAATTAACCCATCAATCTCTTTCCTGAAAGATCTTCGTGGCTCTGTTATAAAAACTATGTAGATTTGATACAATGTATCTTCCTGGCTGAAAGCCATATGGTTTGCCACTTATAACGTCATTTCCTTCCAGGTATTCTACCATTTGCTTGTAATTATATTTCTACTAATTTGACTACCACATTTGTCAGCAGTAATGCATTATTTTGATAATTACTTACTTGTACCCGATAGAGGTCTATAATTTAGACGCTTTGTATTATTCCATTTTTAATATTAGAACTATGTTTGTCTTTTTCCACATATCTGCAAGCTGAAACATGCTGGAGGGGTGGCAGGAAGACTTCTGACATGGATGAACAACTTTCTGACAGGAAAAATAACGGCGGTAATCAGAGACAATAGATGAAACAGGGGAAATATAGATTGTGCAGTAATTCAAGATTAAATTCTAGCACCAATAATGTTCATTGTCTATATAAACGATTTTCCAGAAGGAATACAAAATTAAATGAACATGTTTGCTGAAAAGGCTCAGCTATTTGGGACGAGAGAGAGACTTTGAAGATTGTCATGACCTTCAAGATGGTCAGGACAAAATAAATATAATTGTAAAATGCTTAGCTATATGAATTTTTGGATACAGATCCTGAGCCCATAATGTACCTCTTTAACCTTTTCCACTACCGCCCACGTCATGGGTATGGGGTGCATAATAAATGAACTAAACTAACTAGAGTACCAGAAACCTTTATCAAATCACACATATATCTTTGCTCATATTTGAAATATGGTTATATTAACGATTTGAAAAAAAAAGTTTATACATCTTGACTATACTGGTTATAGCTAGATTATTCATAACCGATGACTAAACTATTTATAACCACTGACTAAGCTATTCATATTCCTTGACTTGCCTGTTCATACGGATTGACTAGACTATTCATAACGACTTTTCTAGCCTAGTCAAAACTCGACTAGTAACAACACTTCTTTACACATAAAAAAGTTAACATTGATCTTGGAATGTTGGGAGCTGCCGGGGCCCCATCGCTATGGCAACCTTCTTTACAGCTGATATATTTCTACTCCCATAACAAATATTTCATGTGATGGATTCGTAGTAACAATTATATCTCCTTACTTCTGAAGGCATTTAATATTTTAGGCGTTATTAGAATATCTCTGTTTATCGACCAGGGCGTTGGCTCCTGTTCTATATGACCGACAAGCAACTGGAAGCCTTTGTAAAAAATATATCTGCCTGTGGTATAAGTATGTAAACGGGTAAAAGACTTAAAATGAAGCTTATATTTCTGTCATTCTTGAGACAAAAACATTTACATTTAATAACATATCTGGGTTAATTCAACATTGTGCTAAGAGAGGTCTATTCGCCGCTCAGTTGATCAGCTTGGAGCTCGGTGAGAGATGAAACAAACAACTTTTATAAAACTAATTATATTAGATTGTAATTATTATATTTTTCTGTTATAGGATTTATATATGTTTTCTTTCAGTCTTTCTTATGACATATATAAATAATTAATGTTCATTAACTTATTAAGATGTTTTCAACAATTTTCTTCGGATGCTCGTGAGTTTTTTAAGTTCTAATCCGCTGTGGTTGGGCCACCGATCTTTCATCTCCCCTCTTCACCTCATCTCCAGATCCTTGCTCAAGATTTCTGCAACCTCGCCCCGTTCTTCCATCCCCTGCTTGCCAACTCTATGGACATTTTCATTTCACTTCATGCTCGTGAGTTTCAACGAGGTTGGACATTTTTGGATTCCAACACATGGGTTGAGCCAAGTGACAGTTTGGTCAGATTAAAAAACTATTTATTGGCATGCTTAGGTATACACAGCAACGTGCTGCTACCCTATTCCATATGACGATATTACAAAGGGTAGCTTAAAGGCTAGCTATGAGTTCATCTAATATCCTCATCTCACAGGATGGTTAGTCCAACCTGGAATCTGGAGAGAACTTGAAATACGAGGCTGATCTATTAGCCTGCACAAGGAAAATCTAAAACTAGCACAAGAATATTTTACTATATTCAAGATTGTATAAAGTAGTTATAGAGCTCAAAGTATTTCATATAGTTTGGTTTGAAATAATTGATAACAAGACAGCTCTTGTTCCCAAGTTTACAATTAGACTGCTCACCATTGGGGGATTCATTACCTGCAGCCACCTGCCATAGATACCGATATCCTAGAATAATTCTAGCTGTAATAGCTGGGTTCTCACAGAGGACCTGCAAATGCTCGTGGCACTTGCAACAGTCCACGATGAGTTCCCAAAAGAGTTAGGAACAGGACACCGACACTCCAGTGGCCGAGATAATAACCCAAAGATATAATCTCTTCCACTATGATATCGAAATCTTGTAGTCAGCCGTCGTCCTGCCCAAACAAAGATCGCTACAGGGCGTAGAACACTAAGGGTTCACTATATCAAATTTAGAGTTTTGATGTATGGCTATGAAGCAGCTCTACCCTTGAGATATATTACGAATATAGGAGTCGTATGGGGGATTGTCTCACATGTAATACATACATATCACAATTATGTCTTACATGTGAGAGTAGTATGGAAAAAAGGGTTTAATTGAGAGTGTCTATAACTTACAAACTTTTTTTAAGAAAATTAACACTAATACACACAGGTTCATTATCTTAACAGAGAGTTTCACTTCTAAAACTAAGCAAATAGGGAATTTGTATCCCGCCACATTTAAGGTACACAGAATGAACTACTTAACACTTGTGATAACTCTTTAGCATAAGGAAATGCAAGGGTCATCGATTGGTGCATCACAATATGCTTATAACACTTTTGTCAATCGAAACGCAGGCACTTTGCTCTAGTTATGATATCTTAACACAAGTATATAAATAGCGCACAACAGAGATATAATAATTCCTTTAAAAGATAGCACAAATAACATATGACAATTATATGTCAATAAGACTAATAATCAATGAAAGGAGTCAGTTGACCTCAGACGAATCCAGACGATCGTTTAGCGCTCAACCTTGACCACTCATATTGCCAGCTCATCGTTTGTGTAGGCGCGAGGGTGATGGCACAACTTTCGACCGACTTTTTCAGTGATTCATCATGGTCCGAGTGAGTGATATATACCGTAGGACTCTGAATGCTTGCTTACACTTCTCAAAGCAAATTGATTATGTGACGCTGTGCCGGTCCTCGTGGATGACTTCAGTATATCTATTGCTGATTTACACGGTTTCCAGGAGCACCAGTTGAGTGGAGACGGTGGTACAATAAATATTAAGGATGCAGGGAAGGATACGACCTATGTCGTAGTGAGGTATGCGCGGTTTGAAATGCCTGACGGCGTTATGAGAATGACACTTTCTTGCTATGGAAATGTGATTGAAGTCAGACCGCACCATTTCACGTCGGGTTCTGCAAAAAGTGACCTGACCGGGAATTGTACAGTGGCGATGAAGATGCTGGCAGGAATTCCGTCATCGTTGAAGGTGGCTAGGACCACAGTACACGTGGTCTGCCATGGGCAAGAGCGGATATGCTTCAGGTGCAGAATGTCTGAGCATTCATGAGGTTGCCCCAGAACACCGGGCTAACATATTCTCAAAAGCAGATTTCCGCCGATGATTGAACCAGTGATAAAGAGAGGTGGTAAGGAGGCAAGTGCTGCATCGATGGAGTCTTGTGTGAGCCCTGTGGTAGAGAGCGGTGCTGGTGGAGGTGATCAGCCTGCACCAGCGTCGGACGTTGTTGACGTGATGTTCGATCGTCTGGAGTAGTGTTAGAGGGGTTAGGTGGTACTGAAGGAAGTGGTTGAGTTGATGTAACCAAGATGACCACATTGTTTTCTGGTGAAATGTTGCCTCATTGAAAAGGTGAGAAGGTGCAGGGAGAGGTAATCGTGAATACTCAGAAGAGGAGGTGTGTGGCTGGTAGCCAAGGTTCTAAGGGAAGTAAGTAATTATCAATAGAAGGCACCAAACCAGGAAAGCTATGTAGTACCATCAAATGTGCAGGATAATCAGAGAGCACTAAATATCACCAAGGATGCCAATACGAGAACATAAACTCATAAGGCGAACGATATCAAAAGTATTGGAGTCGCCAAGAATTCTATCGAGGGACAAGCGACCGCGGGGGACGGTCGGAAAACAAGACACAAGCTCGTCCTGGAAGTCAGGACATTCAACAAGGATATGCACGACCGTAAGACAGACAATGCAATTTGGACAATAAGGAGCAGGGCGGCGCTCGACTAAGTGACCGTGAGTTAAACGGGTATGACCAATACGTAACCTAGCCAGAGCCATTTCCACCGCCGGTTACGGTGGCAAAAGGAAGGCCACTGGGATACACGACTCTTAAGAGTATGCAGTTTGTTACCAATAACAGACGACCAACAACTCTGAACGCAGGCAAGGATGGAGGCATGAATAACTGGGTAAATGTCGGAATAAGGAATACCTTTACGGCAGATGGGACAAGAGAGGATAGCGTCCTTAGCGGCAGCATCCGCACGCTCATTTAAAGAGACACCAACATGGCTGGGAACCCAGCAAAACGCAACGGACTTAAATTTACTGGAGATAACAAACAGCCAATGTTGAATCTCGATGACCACCGAGTGGACCGGATTAAAGGACCCTAAAGCCAGGAAGGCACTACGAGAGTCAACTACCACCACAAAGGAGGATTGACACCGGGAAAGCAGGAGACGAAGAGCATAGAGAATAGCATAAAGTTCTGCTGTGAAGATGCCAGCCTCCGGAGGAAGGCGACACATATAAGTGTGGTTAGGAAAAATAACAGAGTAGCCCACACCGTCAGCAGATTTAGACCCATCGGTGAAGATGGGAGCGGAGTGGGAGTGAGAAGAAAAGTGCTCGAGGAAGAGGCGTTTCAGAACTGTAGGAGGGGTAAAAGCTTTAGTGATGCGGGTCAGAGAAGTACAAAATTTGGGAAGGGGGACCCTTCACGGGGGCAGGGATGGAACAATACGAGGATAAACATTAGTAATACGAACCGAAAGAGAATCTTGTAAGCGAGACAAACGGACAGAAAGAGGAAGGTGGTGAAGAGGAACAGGAACTACAGGAGGGGTATAAGTCAAAGTACGATAGAGGCAAGAGTGAGGATGCGGTAAGGTTCGCGCAAGATGCGAAGACTGTAGTGATCCCGGCGGTCCTGGAGAGACAGAAAGCCAGTGTCAGCGTACAAGCTGAGGGTAGGAGTTGAGCGTGTAGCGAGTAGATTATCCCAATAATATACTCGCTCCAAATGCATTGTTAATATTCCTGTCAACCTTTGGAGATGAATGAGGTGAGGCGTTGCCTGGGCAACACGGTGAGGTGTTGCCCGAGCATATAAGCAGCAGAATATCAAACATTAACTAGTCTACTTTCAAGTGTGGTCTGGAGCAGACACTTGCGAGATACTGTACCGACGCTCAGTGCGCTTAACTCACACCAAAGTATCACCTGTGTACTTCTGTATATTCGACCAAATATATATATAGTATCTTAGTGTCTGTGTTTATTTGTCACCATACTTTACGTAACCAAGAACCGTTACATTGGTGACCCCAGAGAGTTTCGACGACACCCAGCCACGATGGACTACAACATGGACTCTCACTGGACCTCCACTGCTGCTGCTTGCTGTGGACCGCAGCCACCTGTCATGGAACGTTATCAACACCCTTGCCA